CCCCGACCTTGTTTATGCGCCTAGCAACCCAGAGGTCCTCAGACTTGACGGCCATGCCTTGGCAAGCGCATTGCACGGACAGTGAGTGGTCAGTGCTATTTTCGAAGAAGAATTTTGAAAATGTATCCTTATGTCATCCAAATGTCAAAGTATCCTTCTGTCATCCTTTTCATGCAACCGATTTCTCGGAAAGAGGGTCGGGATGTGGTTGTGAGATGTGCTGATGCATGTTCCAATGATTCGGTAGACACTGCCCCAGAAAAGTCTCCCCTTGACATTCGTTTAAACCTGCACTACGCAACTGCCTGAGAAGGGAGTGTGATCGCACCATCGCTCCATGACAGCACCATAACTATGAAAAGTGCAACCCCACCTTCCCCCCAGTGACATCGTTCAACCTCAAGGGCTTGGGATAACCCCGAGAGGAAGTAGGCCACCTCAATCGCGGCGAGGCACCCATGGTTCGCAGCGCCGACAGCGCCATGGACTGGAGCTCGCCTCCACATTGTGCTCAGGGTAAAGCAGGACGTTCACGCTAAAAGATGTTGAAGGGCATGGTCTGCACTCCCGCTGTAGCTTAAACACTACGAGAAATGCTCTGCTGCATGAGCTTCGAAATGCCTTCAATGGCACTCCGCCACTTGTCTGTCAGCGGCTCGACCTTCACAGGGGGAATCAGGGGGAGTTTTAAGGCTTCTAAGGCGCAGGATTTTCAAGGTTGTGTGGCTCAGGCACGACGGACGACGGTAGCCAACAACGACAAGAACTGGCTGCGGGTCAACGCGGAAGCTGTGACTTCAGCTTCAGCCTTGCCATCGGGCAGCATGATCTTCGAGCATCGCCTGGCTCCCAAATATGCAAGAGCTCTTGGGACAACTAGCTGCCCAATTTCCAGAAGATGTCTTGAGAGCTACTAGGCTGCTCCGGGAATCAGAACGATTCATCTTCCAGGATGAAAGGCATAGGGACGGAGATAAAGACAGACAATAGAGATAGAGAAATAGAGAGAGAAAGGAAATAGAGTCAGAACACACGCACACACACACACAGAGACACTACCAGCCCATATAAGCCTTTCAAGGATTCTTTTTTTGCGCCCAAGAAACTTCACGAGCATCTCGGGAGCGCCCTTGGCGAAGAGAACGTTGCTGCTAGCAGCGCTGTCGTGCCACAACACGCCTGGGGCTTGTGTTCTTTGCTTTCGGCTATTGTTGGGGTGACCCGGGTGTGTCGGGCCTATAGGGCTTAAGGACAGTAGCAGAGTTCAGCAATTTCTGCTCTCACCAGACTTGCCCGCTGCGGGTGAATGCGATGAGCTCCTGGATGCGCCCAAGTACGATTCAATTGTTGGAAGTGCTGGATGTGGCCCTTTGCTCACGTTCTCTTGCAAGGTGGGTTCGTGCCTCCGGATCTTCCTAGCATCGAGCTTCTACAGCGTGCGTGGTGTACTACTGGCGAATGAGGGGCAGGTACATCGCCAAACTCGCTCGGTCAATGTGTTCTGAAGTCATGGTGTTCGGGGTTTGGGGAGAGAAGAGGCTCAACGACTTCCTCTGAAGTTTTGAAGCCAAGGTGCTCATTGACTTTCGGTCCCGGCTGAACTCCAGAACTGCCTGCAGCCCATAAGACCCGATTGCTGAACTACATGGCTCAACGGTACATCTACAAGGGGTCAAGTTCTCACCGGCCCAGCCTGGATGGTGCGCTATACATGTGAGAAATCTGTCAGTTAAGATTATGAACGCAGCGCGGGTCCACGGGCGACAGAAGACTCTGCAGCTCAAAAGCGTGGAGGAATCGTGCACGCCTTCTTCTCCATGCCCTTCTCCCAGTACTGCGAGAAAGCCATAGCATCTTCCTTTGACCTGGCAACCGCAACGCACTTTAGTAGGTAACTTGTTGAAGACAATGGGCTTTGTTTGCCCAGCGACATGTGCTAGAACGAAAATGAATGAAAGGTTTTTCAGAGCCAGGCTGATGATCAGCTCGGTCAGCGATGCTCTAGCACGGAGGTCCGGCAGAGAGTTGTCCAAGACACAAGTGCAAATGAGCCCTGGGTCAAGGTGCCAACAACCCAGGCCCCCGAAGGATACTCGGCCTCTTCTCCTTCTGGAGGCATCTTTGGTTGAGCGCCTGTCACGGGCTCCCTAAATTTATCTGCGCCCGCATCCCCCAAGACTATAGGTGCTCTTGAAGGGAGGCGAGGGGAGGGTATCGGGCCATATTTGTGCTCGAACGTATCAAGCACGCATAGAAACTGACAGAAATGTTCGTCTGGGCCGTGTGCGTGATTAGGTGCAACCAGGGGCTTATGTACCGAGTTGTCCAGCTTCTCGGACATGCCGTTCTGAGACTTTTGCAATTGCGTGTACTGAGGAGTTTTATACAAAGAAAAGGCAACCCTCAGGTTTTTGTTCGGGTTCTGGTTGTTAATCCGCCGACCCCGCTGTTGGGTTGAGCCACCCCCCCCACCCACCCCGCCCCCCCTTCCCCCCCCCCCACGCCCCCCCCACCCCCACCAACCAAAAAACTCCGTTTTTTCTTCTTGTTCGCTTTTACTCCAACGCAAATTGCGCCCATCACCAAAAAGGTCCGCGCCTGAGACCCCTGCTCCTACGCCCGTATACCCCCCCCCCAGCCGAAGCCCTGAACCCCGCCCCCCCTACACACGCAGCCCCCAAAAAAAGGTCCAAGTCCGCGCCATGCATGGTTTCGGAAGCTTTGAAATTCGGCCCTTGCCCTCCCACCCCCCCCTCCACCCTGGTGACCACGCGCCAACCCAAAGAGACGTCTGCATCCTACTCAGCTGCAGTCTCCCGTCTGCTCAACGTACTGTCTATACATACGTGTGTATATGTATCTCTACCTACATAATCCCAAACAGCCGGCCGCCCCTTTTGCAGGGTCGGCGGCAGCGGCGTTAGCCCTTAAATCGGGCAGCGCGAGGTCCCCAAAGGACCGAGCAAATGCGGACCTTTTAGCCCGGGTCGTCCCGGGAATAGCCTTGCTGGCCTCTGGCCTTCTGCGAAGCAGAATTAGGCCGGACGCCAGTGCCGCCGACCCCCGCGTGCCGCCGGTGAACGGTTTTTTTTTCGTGGTTTTTTGCGTCGCCACGGAGGCCCCCAGAGGGCGCGCATCATGAGCATCAGCGGGTCCAGCCCGGGACCCCCAGGCGCGCATCAGGAGCATCAGCGGCTCCGGGGCGGGACCCCGGGGGCGCATCAGGAGCATGATGCCCCTCTAAGGGCGGGTCTCAGCCCGGGGCTAGGAAAAAGGGAGTTTAGGGGCCTTATAAAGTGCTTAGAAACTTTAAGGGGGTGTAGGAGCCTCATATTCTAAGCATTTTGAGGCCCCTAAACTCCCTTAAAATCTCTAAGCGTTTGAGGCTCCTGAACTCCCTTAATGTTTCTAAGCATTTTCAGGCCCCTAAACTCCCTTCAAATCTCTAAGCGTTTGAGGCTCCTAGCCTCCCTTAAAGTTTCTAAGCACTTTACAAGGCCCCGAAGCTCCCTTTTTCCTAGCCCCGACCTTAGACACGTCGCTTATGCCCGCCCTTTGGGGGGCGTCATGCTCCTGATGCGCCCCCGGGGTCCTGCCCCGGGAGCCGCCTGATGCTCCTGATGCGCGCCTGGGGGTCCCGGGCTGGACCCGCTGATGCTCATGGAAAGGGAGTTTAGGAGCCTCCAACGCTTCGAGAAACCCCAACGCTGTGACGGATCTGCTCGCCCCGCGCTTCTGCCTGCGCTGCCCGCCCATGGGCGCAGCCCCTTAAAATAAACACGAATACTGATTTTCTGAATTTGCCACGCTTTTGGCAATGCTGTGCAGGGCCTATTCTCCTAGGTTTCTGAGGAATCTAAACAGTCTTGAAAATAAATGAGCCAAATTTACGTATTTTGAACCTCGATCGAACCCAAAGCCCTAGGGCGCTAACTTCACCCTGAACCCAGAGGCCATGTCGGAGGGGCTGGCCACTCTTGAACAGAGCCAGCCTTAAAAAGAGTTCAAAGCCATGATGGTGCTTGCGAGTTTGGCCAGTTTCTTTTTTGATTGCTAAAGCTCTGTTACAAGGCAATCTGAACATGCTTTCCGCGAGTCGCGAGCGCATGAAAAGAGAAGATGCAAGCTATGAATTGCAGTGCATATTCTAACCACTCACAAAATACAATTTAAATCTCGAGCGTGCGATTATAGAGATCAGTTTCCCTGATATCTGCGGCTTCTAAAGGTTTGAATGAAAAGATGCTAGTGAAAAAAGGATGCTGTAGAAAAGCTTTGAAATCAGACCTGATTAAGAACCGGCGTCAATTCTGAAAGAGTGCCAGATTTCGTGATAAAACTCGATCAAGAAGGCCCCGAAGAAGCCATTTGCCTCCCCTAGCACTGCAACGTCTCAACCACTATTCCACTATTTGTGAGTATTCCCTTGGTGGACCTGGTCGGGACTGCCCAGCTTCTCGACTAAGACCCGGATGGCGGCTTCCGTGGGCTCGCCGTTCCGGATGAACTTCTCCTCACGGAAAACAGCCCCCACTTTTAAGTAGATGCTCTCCGCTCCGAGCACCCTGAGCAGACGAATCCCTTTTCTTTAGCTGAACCTCCTCCTCCCCTAAGGCACGGGTGACAAAAGAGCTACATATGTGGAGTAGGAAGGTCCCCCCCGAAGTTCAGGGGGCGCACCACGTGTGAGAAAAAGGCCCCCCCTGATGCTCCAGTGTTACTTATGCCCGGCTCCTCATCATCCACTAGCAGCCTCGACTCGTTGCACAGGCAGCCGATCCTCAATAAGATGCAGGTTGCACATGGTTGCATCTATCCTCTTATTTTGTCTTGAAGGCGTGCTCGGAGTGCAGAGTGTAGAGATGTGTGGAGTAAGGACAGTGACAGTATGGGTCAGAGGTGGTCATGGCTCTAAGGCTAGTATATCATCCAGTGACCCTCTGGCTGCAGGGTGCGCCGTGCCAACCCACTGAATCTCTCAGGCTGCTGCTTGGCCAATGTCTTGATGGCCTCGCTCTTGCCCCAGTCGATGTCGAGCTTCGCAACCCGGCCCACGGGCATGTAGTTGTGGCCTCACATGATCGCTGTCCAAAAGTTGAAGCTCAAGCCCCAGCCTCTTGAAACTTTGTGGTTGTATGCCCTCACGCTCGACACTCCACCCCACCCCCCACCCGCCCCCCAAAAAAGAAAAGGAAAAGCCATGACCGTGATGCACCCCACTTCAGGCCAAGACCTTCGACGTCGTAGTCCTGAAACAAAGGGTCGCGATGAGACACACATGGACAAGTTGTGCTTGGGTCTGTACTACGCGACCCCAGTTCATTCCAGACGGATGCCATATAGAAGCAATACATTGTCACGTATAGCGGTGCGTCTCTTGCGGTGCTTTGGGTCGTTGGAAGTTTAAGCGCATTCCGATGCCTGCAGTGGCTTTGCTCAGCTCGACTCACATTGAAGCCAGAAGCGGTCGCAAGCCAAAACCTCGAAATTGCAGCGCTTTGTCCTTCAGACCATCGCCGTCGGGCAGCGCCAGCTTCACCACGCACATCTCCTGGATTCGCAGCACAGCGGGAGGATTCAAAGGAGAGTTAGGACTTGAGAGCAACCCATGCTCAACCATCAACTGTCCAGTCGTGTCTATGTGGTCAGCCGTGCTGGCGTGATCCAGAACAATTTACAGATTCATACACAAATACACATCTAAACAGAGTTTTCTGAAGTTTCGGAGCCGACTGACAAAGGGCCCATTAACTTCGCGGAGTGTATGGGGGGTGTACTCAGTATCGCAACGACAGGGGCTTGAAAGCTGTGTTCAGGAGCTCTAAAGCTCTAAAGCTAAGGCATCGCAGGTTCCTAACTCATGTCGATGCCATCCGGGTCGTCCGTGAAATTCCGTGAACTTAACATGCTGCTAACATGGATCACCTAAAAGCCCCTTAAAACCAGGTGCTAATTAATCTCTGCAGACCCAGCTTCGTTGGTTGTCAGTGTTCCGGTTTTGTCCGAGCAGATCACAGTAGTGCAGCCTCAGCTCGGAGGGGTTGCGCTCTAGATTCCTAGATCTGTTACGAGGACCCGGCCCAGTGTTTCCACGGACGGCAGCTTTCGGACGATGGCGTTGCGCTTGGCCATTTGCCTCAGACGGGAGGAGGCCAAGAGCGATCTAGGCTTCGGATTGGATTTAGGCCTAAAGGGCGGACAAGCTCCTCAGAATCACCTGTCGTCCCAAACCTATATAGATCGGACAAAAACCTCTGCATGTCTCTGCAGTGGTGGTGGCCCTTGGCCAAGGACATGCGATTGCTCCAAGCCACCGTGTGCCCAAAGCTAAGCAAGTGGTGATCACCGCCGGAAGCCCTGCATGCATGTGCAGCCTTTTGAGCTGACAATGGTCGAAAGCTGGGAACGGATTGTGCGGGTTCAGGGCCACAAGCGGAAATAGAGAGATGCGCTATTGTCGTTTGGGATTCGGAGTTGCGTGTATTGCGTTGTATTGTATTGTGTTGCGTAGCGCTGCGTCGTGTGTGTGTGTGTGTGTGTCTGCGTGTGTGCGCGTGCGCGCCGTGCGCGCGTGCGCGCGTGTGCGCGTGTGCGCGTGTGGGCGTGTGTGCGTGTGTGCGTGTGTGTGTGCGCGCGACAGTAGCGAGTTCGGTCCGTGAAGTAGAGGCGGCAGGGAATCACTCTCCGGTATCTTTCGCCGGATGACGCACCCGCCAGAGTTTGCATGAGTTTACCTGCGATGTCTTCAGAGCAAACGCATGGGTACATTGTACATGGTGCCTTCGTTGTGCACCTCGTCCAAGTTATCTAACGCTGCACCCTGGTGGATCTACATGTGCCTCGGAGAGGAGAGCCTGGGTTAGAAGTGCCTTCCTTGGGTCTGGTTGGATGTCAACTGTTGCGCGCGCTCGTATGTGTGTGTGTGTGTGTGTGTGTGCGCGACAGAGCGCTTGCATGCACGGGCGTGCGTGCGTGCGTCCCATCTCGAGAGAAAACCCTCATGATGCGCCACGGAGCTCCCCCCCCCGCACAGGGACTCCTTCCGGGATGGCAGCCACTGCCAGGGCCACTGCAATTTTGAAGTAGTAGATGCACCTAACAACACCCCAAGGACTCAGGCTTCCTTGGCTTTCCTTGGCTTTTCCGTGGCTTTACGTACTCTTACCTATGTTCTGGCTTGAAGCTTCATCTTGCAAGACCTGGAAAGTGGACCGAAAGTATTGGGGTTCAGAAGCTGACCGTCTCAGCTTTAAACTTTCGAGGTGGGAGTGGGGCAGGCTTCTGTGTTTGGAAGCGCAGGTCCAGAGCACTCACATGATGGTTTACATAAACTGATTTGGAGCAAAGGACCCCTTGATCACGGAGCCGTGCACAGGATCGAAGAAGTGCCTCGGCCAAAGGGGCTTTCATCGCTCACACGGATAAACCAGGTGAGACAGATTGGGTTTCTGGGGTTCGTCGTATGTGTCTCTGGTCTGTTGTACAAATCCAGGAGACTTGGACACAAGTAGCCGCGAGCTGACGGCATCTTCTTTTAGCTCATTCCCAGCCCAATGTGTAAAACTGCGGGCGTGCAGGGTGTCCATGGCTTCTCCTGGCTGTAGGGCTTACTGTCCAAGCTGCTTGTAGTTGATAACCCACACCAGCAGGCAAATGATGCCAATCATCTTGGCCAGCAGGTTTCCGAACTCCTTGGCATGCGCTACCCCCTTCCATCTTCATCTAAATCTTCGAATGCTTGTCGGATCCTGTACTGAGCCCAAGATCAAAATTGAGCGCTTCTAGCCCTGACACCGAAGCAAAAGAAGATCCAAGCTTCATCGAGCTTTTCCTGCAGCGGCGTTTGCTCCTCCTCCTCGCCGGCCTTGGTCACGGCTGCCTGCAAGGATGGAAAAACTGAAGGCCTCTATTACCCGTTTCCTGGTGGGAGCAGTTTTGTGCGGGCTCGTTCGTCTTCCACTCGCATGCCTGGGGTACCTTCCCATGTGCGGATGTCAGACGTAAAAGATTTAGAGAGTCAAAGGGACTGCAGACTTGAGGTTTAGAATCATTGCGTACAAACTACAACTTCAGCCGTCTATCTCCAGCCTGAATGATGCCGATTTCGGTGCTCATCCCTGTCGCTACGACGATCGCCACGCAGGCACCGTTAGAAATCGTAGTCGAGGAGAAGAGTAGGTTGCTCTTCTCCTGGCTTTTGAAAGACGGACTGCCTAGCCGAGTGGCTAGTCGAATCATGCTGATGAACACCAGAATGAAGTCCATGATGGAAGTTTGAGTTTCTTTGAATCGATCCCTCCTGTTTTGCAACCTGGTAACCTGCTTTGAAAGGCTTCAGGTAGGAATGGCTGTTGAGGGTACATGAGCATAAGCTTCAAGACGCTATTTTATGCAGGTGTTGGCCTGTCCTGGATGACGCAGTCCTTCTCCTTGGACTTTGGCAGAGGTTCGCTTTCCTGGGCGAAGCTGTTTAGCCGATATCTGTTGCTGCGATCCTTTTTGCCGAGTTTTGCTGTCAAAGCGTAGCACATGCAAGAGCGTGTGGGCTACACATCGATCGTAGACAACTTCGCACGAACAGGAAGAAATCAAAGCGTAGCCTGAGTGTGCCGAAAGGTTCAATACAAAAGCCGTCCATCCGACCCCAGCCCCCGTCTAAAGTCTACGAGCATGGCAAGGCTGAGAGTCCCTTTCAAACCTACAGTGGGCCAAAGAAAGACCTTGCCGGCAACTTGGCATCCCTGCCTTGGAAACGCTCTGGGACTCACCCGTGAGCTGAGACTGTTCGATCTTGATCCTCATTGGGAGGATCTCAGGCTTCGGTTGCTGCAGGAAGTTGACAGACATCACCCACTGGCAGAAACCCCAAGGTAACAGCCTAAAGATAAAGATAGTGGTGCACTGGGGCCGCCACGTTGTGGTTTTGAGCCGCATGACTCGGGCATCAGCCGGCACCTGCCCAGGATATGTACACACAAGCATACCCCTCATTGAACTCTCTCTCTCTCTCTCTCTACCTCTCTCTCTCTCTCTCCCGCACGCATGGCCCCCTCTCTCTCTCTCTCTCTAAATAACAAGTACAGTACGTATGTTGGATGGTAGGTCCCACATGCAGACAGAAACTGCCCAAAACATCAAACATCTTCAAAGAAGGGGAGCAGGGGCACTGCACATCCACGCCTTGTCCCCGACCTTAACCTCCAAAATGTCGCCAGGGACGACGTCTTCTGCATCGATGGTCGTCTGAGATGGTGTGAAAAGGAGCGGAACCCCCAACGGCTCCACCACGCTCCACCTAATCCGCCGACCCCAATGGGGGGGGCAGTGCCCGTGCATCCTTTGTCTTCCTCCGTCCGACCTCTCCGACCCTTCTCTCGGTGTCCCCACCCTCCAGCCCTAGCCATCCACATGCTACTTTTAAAGGAGTCCCCCCCTCGCCGCACCCTTCCAAGCTTGCGCCGCTTTTCGAACTTGCGTTGAGGGGGTTCACTGCAGCATCCCCAAGTGAAATACGTCTTTGGTTACCGTCATGGAGGCCTGGCAGCCAAACCCCCCCCCCCCGTTAGCGCAGCATCAGCGGGAACAGCTGGGGTAGGAGGGTGGCTTGAGGAAGCCTCCGATGGCGGCGCATCCTTAACGTGCGCTCGTGTTTATATTTCTTTGTGTGTTAAGGTACGTTGAAAACATTGTCTTTGGTGTTCATGCTTTTGCGTTGTCATGTGTCGTCGTCGTTGTCGTCGTTGCCGTTGCTGTTGTTGGTTGTGTTGGTGGTGGTGGTGGTGGTGCTGCTGCTGCTTCCCCAGAAAGAGCAAAAACTATAAGTTCCTGCCGCTTTGGGGTGACCGAGTGTTGGCGACAGGCCTGTTAGAAAAGAATCCAATTGGCTATGGTCGGAATCCCGGGAGCCAGCTTAAAGTTGGCAATTTGTTGAAGTCTGAGGACAATGTATGAATAGGGACCCCTGGCTGCGAGACATTTACTGTTTCTCCAAGCCTGCCTGAGTCCCAAACCCACTCTGACACCCTCCTTGAGCATTGCAATAGCTCACACGTTACCCGACATAAGCCCTGAGCATCATCCATGGCCCCAAACACTGTTTCCCCAGCCAGCCCTGAAGCACATTCCTGTTCCTTGCTTCTGATTGATCTGGGGCTGGATGCTTGCCAAGCTTCCCAGTTTCCATCTCGGAGCACAAAAGCGCATTCCGGTGCTAACCTCAGTGCTTTCCTGTTGGATCTCTTTTAGATCCTACAGCACCACCACGCTGGTTGCAATCGCAACTCGCGCTGCAAAACTGCAGAACCGACTTTAAAAAATGTGAAAACGTCGATTCTGAGAGTGGTGCTTCGCAGATCCATTACATCTGTGAGCCGAGACGCTTCTTCAGCGCGTCCAAAGCTTTTTCGGCCTTGGAGTCCTTCCGAGGCAGCGCCGTGCAGGTTAAGCGGCTCTATCGTTGCACCTAATCAATCAGCCGCCCCGAAGCCGAGGGATCACTGAAGGTCAAGAGTCAAGAGGGTTTAAAAGGCCCTCGGCATCCCTCCGTACCTAACTTGCCAATCTAGTCGTACAGAGTGGCTGGCTGGCGGAAAATCACCTCAGCCACTAGCTATTGCAGAAGCAAAGAGTCCTGCCAAATCGCGATAATTGCATTGAGAACGAGAATCGTAAGAATCACGAACGGCTCCACGTACGCCTGCCAGGATGCCCGCGTGCTGATGCATCAGACACGCGTTGTCTAAGTTGTGGCTAGTTTGATTCCTGCACGCCGAACTATCCAAGGCAGCTCCGCGAAGCTTCCAAAGCAAATTCGGAATTCGCAATTCGTTTTATGGCTTTGCGCTTGTGAGCCATGGCCTTAAGACCCTCTTCTTGAGACTTCTCATCGAAGAAGGCCAAGAGGAAGGAAATCATTGCCTCAACCAAGAGCATGGTCGATAAAAGGTTGGAATGACTTTCTGCGAGCCCACTCACCCTAAGTCCTGAGCTCACCCTACGTCCATGAAGGCTGAACCCGAAAGACATCTCAACGTCCATGCGACTGCAGGGCCAGCTGGTTACTTTGCAAACGGTGACGTCTGCAACCATGCCCGGAAAACGAGTCCTATGCTTGGAAAGCACACACCGATTTCTCGGACAGCCGCAGCTGCACCCGCTCATCTTCCGCGAGGCTCAGACTCTCGGCACAAGTTCAAATCCTACAAGTTCACCTGAGTCTACTGAGTCTACTGTTTGGTCCTTAGTTGTTCGACAATTTCTTATGTGTTACAAATACAAAGCCGGGACTTCATCCGGTGCTGTCTCACGAGCACACGAACGCGTCTAAGTCTTAAGTCTCAGCAACAGTTGCGAGCATGAGCGCCTGCTCATGGATAAAAGATTCTATGTATCGTCACCCTTTTGCGCCGAGCGGCTGAGGCTAGCAGGATTCGCACCAAGGTGTCCTGCTGCGAATCGTGTAGGTGTCGGGACCACTGGTGGCCACAGAGCAACTCGTACGCTTCACTAAGCTCAAGCACCCTCTGTCGGAAATGACCGTAAAAAAGCCCCCGCAGGGGATCCGGAGAATCTCCGATCTTCGAAGCCCCTGAAGCTCAGGACCGAAGAAGCCTCAAACTGCTCTATGATGAGCTCCAAGAGCGATTTCCTGAGCTGCACAATGCTACAAAGAGCCAAGGGGGGAGAGGACACATGGGATCAACCAATGACACAAGGGAGAAGATGTGGAGGCTAGGTCTGATTTAGTGGGGAACAGGGAACAGCCAGGGCTGTGGGCCATTGTGCGTGTTCACAACAACGTGCGCCGCCTGAATGTAGCAAAGCTGCTTCTCCTGCTCTTCTAAAGCATTTGAGCCGTACCTTAGGAGCAGACTTTCTAAGGAGACATCTGGTGACAGCCTCTTTTGGGCAAGCACAGCACAGTAAAGCCATCATGAGTTCCAGTTGGCCGCCATATTGACCGGGGTTTGCTGTCCTTCTCGTGGGGCGATATCGGGGTCTCGGCTTAAGCTGGGCCAAGGTACTTTTTTCTGTTTTCCTCCACCTGGGACGAAGTGAGCCCATGGTCGGCCTTCACGTTGTAAAATTTCAGCACCTGGGCTATGCTCATGTATGGTCTTCTCAACCATGGTCCCTCTAGCACACAATGCTAAGGTGGGACAACACGGAATGCTTTGAGCAGCTTGACAGTCACATCCGTGTCTCAGAGAGAGAGAGAGATGCGAAGTGACAAGCCCCTTGGCAGATCTATCACTCAAACGTGCTCGAATGCGCGTCGTGAAGGCGTGCCACGAGGCTGACTTCTGTCGCCGAACCCCTCCAAATTCAGACTGGGCACTTCCTCCACCGATTGGCAATGCGGCGCCGTGATATTGGCCGCCATGAGCCGGCGAGAAAAGCCTGAAAAACGGCGGACATCACATGTAGCTGTAGACAACCGTCGCTAAACACCTCGAACAGTGACGAAGAAGCTTGGCTTTGCAACGGATTAACTGAGCCGATGTCCTCAACGCTGCCTGACTCTTCGTAACAGAGCACAAATGCCGATTTTCTTCATGAGATCGAAGCAGGCACGAACTGTTGCAGCGTCTCTCCAGTGAAGAAGGCTGTCAAGTTCACAACCAACCCATGGTGACAAGAGCAACTCACTGCCATTACAAGCAACACCCCACTCGCGATGGGCTGGACATGTCTAGACAAACAGCCGTGGACAAGAAGCAGTATAGAGATGCTGCAGAAAATCATTAGATCACAGTCATGGGTGATTGTTGTAGCTCTACAGGCCACCAGCAATGCTCGGAGCCAGCGGACGACCCATAATCCTGCAACGAGCAAGTATTGTCTGTCCCAGCTGCCTTTCCGAGCAGGTGGCAAGTTCTGCTCTCTGACCAAGGAAAGTAACTTCTGCTTTTCGAGCCCAGCTGCAGGGCAGGCGACAACTCTCCAAGGCATCTTACGGTACATCTTACATTGGTCGGTTGAAGTTCTGACAAAACTACGCGAAATGGCAAGGAGCTTAGAACTAAGGGGCTCAAGATTCTTGCTGGGTTCTGCGTTGCGGCCATCAGGCTGAAAAGATTCGCAACTGCCTAACTGCCATACCGGCAGAACATGAGATTAACCCGGAGCGGTGCACTGCGTAGGGTTTTCGATGCGAGGCTTGATGGGCTTCGACAGTATCTACAAACAAGGTGGCAAACATCAAATATGTTCTGTGCAAAGCAGGCTGCACCTGCGCAGCTCCGAAAACAGGCCTGTCGCCATTCCCGGACCTCTGACGCACGGAATTTTCACAAGGAATGAAGACTTGACTTAGTGACTACGGGAGGTTTCGTGGGCCTGAACCGCTGCCAGAATTCTAGAATGAATATCTAATTCCCCACGAACAGATTTTGTGATGATGAACTTGTTGAGCCCCTCTATGGGCAATTCAGTTGGTTGATATTTGCTTTTTTGACGACGAACTCAACGACTTGTCATTAGTTGATGTTTCTTCCGGTCTGTACGTCCTGCAGCTCCCAAACCCGAATTTGCTTGGGTTTTTTAAGATGCTTAGCGGGCAAATCCGGAGCTTTAGGCCATGGTCACGGCTTCGTGTGTGCACACATGTGCACATGCGAGCGTACTCAAGACCTGGGACCTTCCCCATTGTCTGTCTGAGTTGATCCCGGCTTGAGGGGTGTGTCCTCGGTGACTTTCGACCCCACTTTGACTTGCTGGTGCTCGACATTGCTCGACTGATCAAGCATGCCTGTGACCATTACCACGCATGCCGCTGGGGGCCACCTGACAGCAGAGATTGCACTCTTGGCCTAGCATTAGTAACACTAGTTAGTAGCCCAAATCATGTCCCGCCAGGGCCTCGCCGGCCGGGTGTCTTCGGCCACCCAGATGGGGCGGCCTCCGACCTGCTTTTGCTTCTTTGAAAATGCGAACGTTCACTTAAGAACCACCATCGGTGTCGCACACTTCCCTTCTAAGCTCAAGCTTCGGGCGTCGAGTTTTAGATTTCAGGTAAACACATGATTTTGGAGGGTTTTGGGCTTTCAGAGCCCAACACAGTTAGCGACACCTCCATCGGGCCGATGTTTATATGGACAACCCGTTAGCAATCCACCATTTTATTGGGTGATCCTCCAATAGACTCCAAGCCGGATTCTTCACAGCAACCCAAAACATCGCAAAAGCCTGACTAGAGTGATCCTTGGCCTAACCAAGTTTGCCCAACGCCTACCTGAAGACTACCTTGCAATTTTTCGATGGGCAGGAGCGCAGGGTTCGACGTGTAATTACCTGCTGTTCGCTGTCTTTCTTGGTTTGCGCTTAAATTGAAGTGAAAATCCAGATAAAAACGATCACACCGAATGCTTGGGAGCCCTGGCGTTCACGTCGCGCAGCTCGCCGATTGCCCGCTCAGCCGACCCGGGGTGCGCAAAGACGCAATGGCCTTTCGGGGGGACTTAGACGCGAAGCTCCGGAAGCCTTGGGGTTTGCTTTGTGCAATTTAGCTTCAGCATTGTAACATTACTGCGCACCTTTTGAAACAGAGAATAGGCTGACCAGCTGCGGACTCGAACAGCAACGTTTTTGTCGTTAAGGATGCTGAATTTGAAGACTTCGTGGATTCTTAGGCGGACAGGACCAACACCAGAGTTCAGAAAAACAAAGAAGCTGCTCAATCTAAAGGGCGTTGACTTCGCTCCTAAGCTTCCTCCGAAACACTGGATGCGCATCAAACTCAGCACCAATCCGCAGTTTATCGCTATCGTTGAAGCAGTCAAGGTATTTTGCCTGGTCAAACTAACTACGTATTGAAGGCAGTATCTAATCATTTATGGTACCCGAGGTGAAGTCACAGCGCAGCCTTAATGTAGATGTATATACATGGGTAGAAGATTGTGTGATCCGGGACCCGATGGCCCCCGACAGGGCAAGGTGAAGCTGGGGCTGTGGCCCATACCTCTGGATCGACCCATCTCATTCCGAAATAGCTTCAACTCCAGAACAGAGCCGACCTGCTGAAACCTGGGCCGAATACGAAGCACCATTAGTGCCGCACTGTCCAGATGAAGCAGCTCAAGTCAAAAGTCTGTACAAAAAACTTCTAGACCCTACACGAAGCTTCACGCTCCCCAAGCGGCCTGGCTTTGCAACTGATAAGCAACGCGCACCCAGCAAAATCATCTTCAGAACGGCAAAACGAATGGGCCTCAATTTGGCGAAGCCCATACGCCTACACTGTACTATCGTCAAGGGAAGAACTGCCAAACCGCCCTCTAAGCATCAAGACTAGCCCTCTCGTCCATGAAGAGCGACACGGATTTGATCTGTAACAGCGCCCAATATCCGGAAGGTGCTGAGGCTTTCTCAGCGCTATGAGCTGCTCCTCGCTGATGTCGTAGGGCACGTTGCTGAAGAAAACACGGTCTTGGAAGCGCGGTGGACCAATACTGTGTATGCACTCTAACGTTTGTCAGAGATATCTGAATAACCGGTCAGAAATCCCAAACACACATCTGGTGCAAGGGGGGGCTCACAAAACTGCAGACCCTAAACAGCCAGAACTTTTGTCCTTGCAGCAACTGGCAATACCCGAACAGCCCTGTGCATCCATAAGGTAACCATGAAGGAGCCAGAAGGCAGTTGGCTAAATGTCAAGTCTTGAAGCCCAACCCTGCCGTTTGGGTACGGGGCTACTCGGCTCGGCACTCTAACACAGAGGCACCTAACATCCTCGGCACTAGAAACGCTGTCAAAATCAGTCTCGGCAGTTCAACTTTTGCAAAACCGATGTTGCAGAAACTGGAGCTTGAGGCCTGGGCTAGGATGGTCAGCAGGAACTTTAGAAACGTCTCCTGTGGATCCGCAAGGATTGCGCTGGCACAGTTGGCACAGTTGGCACGCCCGTATCACAGTGGCAGCAGAAAATCAACGATCCAGCGCGTCAACTCATATCAAAACCCCAAGAGTACGCATTGTGGCTTGCATACCTACAAAGTGCCTAGTTACAAAGATTAAACTTCAACGGTCCTAGCGGCCTAGAGCAATTATGTCAGCTGTGTGACCAAAGAATGACAGAACAGCCTCGCTTAGCTGGAAGTATCGCAAAAACACCCTGCACTAACCAGTCCATCTGAGCAACCAGTAAGCTCGTAAGTTCCAAATTGGAGAGCCTGGACCACGGCGCTGCGAAAGGACTGGAAGTATCGGTTGTGCCGGCGGGAACATTTGCCCGACCTCGGACTGCGAAGATCACAGGTGCCTCCTGAGGTTGACCTCACTATTCACCAGTTACACCCTACATCCTCGCCTCACCTGGCACCAGAGGTAGAGATTGGCTTTATGCAGATCTTGGACATCCACCGCTATTATGCCTTGGAAATACTATTGGCTTCTTCTCACGTCTCCTTGTTTTCATGTTTGCTGCAGGTGGCTCTGCAGGAATATTCTTGGAAATGTTTCAGTTGATCTAGGACTACATGATACACAGCATGCAGTGGCACATCTTCATCTTGCCATTTGATTAGGAGGTATGATGCCACCGATGCCTTCCTTCGGACTTATTATGAGGCCACGCCAGGAAGCATCCCAGCTTAAGCCCTTAGAAGCCGCCATGTTCATATGAGCTGCGCCCAGCATAGCCGGAAGTAGGCCGGCCAGTCCCTGCACAGGGTCTGGGTGGCCTCCGAAACCTCTAAGTACTCTTTCTACGCCCTCACATCACAAATGCCACAGAGATTACGTTCCGCATGAGCCAAGTTTGCAGGAACCCTTAAAAGAAAAAAACGAAAAACAGTATAAGACCTTCAAGTTGGCACCCAAAACGGATGCCGACGTGTGATCGTGGATTTGCTCCAGGCTTGGAAAGAAATACCTCCAATCCAATTCCCCGCCTGGGGTGTGGTGCCAGCAGCTGGCCTGGTTAGGCAACTTGTCAGCGATGCCAGGTTGGGGCTGGGGTCTTAAGTCTGTAACTCAAGTTGCAAATATTCTGGTGATAGGCGGCAGTGGAGTTCAGTCAGACAGACCCCGATCCTGAAACAATGTGTCTAGGACCCCGCGTGTGCTGTCCAAAGAGGGGCATTATGTTTCAGCATAACGGCAACCAGCAGCTTTCGGAACTCCAAATAAAGGGGAGGCACACTGTACCGAGTTTCTTGGCAACTCGACCCACAACCCGGTTCGGTGCCTGCTAGGTGTACGACTGTCTTCGGCGACCCAAATCGGCCTGCCGCCGACCTGTATGGTGCGGAGACACAAGCGAAGGCATTAGGTGATAGTCGAAAAAGCTTCAGGGTCTGCTGCCCTATGGTGCGAGCGGCGTGGTCTCAGTTGATCTTTACTGAAATTTTACCAAGACCCTGGCATCCACATCCCTCAGCT